AAAAAAAAAAAAAAATATATATATATATATACACACACACACATATATATACATATATATATAACATAGTTATACACATGGTGAAAATAAGACTATCTCCATAACTACTCACTTAGACAAGATAAAACTACCATCAAAAATCAGCTAAGAAAATATAAGATAAGCCATATCCAAAATTGGGGACATATTTATAAACACACATACAAAAATAATCTGATTGTGATAGATATACATAATTTATCTCTTAATTAAATCTCAAATTGACTTAAAGCATACAAACAGAATTGCAACTTGTCTAAAAATATAATACTCAAGTAAAACCAATAGACACAATAAACTGAGGCTAGGAAACCTACACTGAGGCCAGGTGCGGAGGCTCACACCTGCAATCCCAACACTTTGGGAGGCCAAGGTGGGCAAATTACCTAAGGTCAGGCATTCAAGACAAGCCTGGCCAATGTGGTAAAACCCCATCTGTACTCAAAATACAAAAATTAGCCAGGCGTGGTGGCACATGCCTGTAATCCCAGCTACTTAGAAACTAAGGCATGAGAACTGCTTGAAGCCAGGAGGTGGAGGTTGCAGTGAGCCAATATGGCACCACTGTACTCCAGCCTGGGTGACAAAGGGTGACTCCATCTCAAAAAAAGCAAAAACAAAAATTTGTGTAGGTAACTGCAATATTTAACCATTACTGTGTACTCATCGAATACAGGTATTTTGAATCATTGGCATGTACTGTATGGCAGTAAAATTTTAGAGAATATGCAGTATGATTATAAATACAGGACTCTAATGAGAAACTCTTAATAAACAAGCATTTAAATAAACTACTTTTTATGTTTTACATATATGCTATTGTTACACAAAACGAAACTTCTGTAATCCAACTTAAAAAGCTAAGAATAGTCTTACATTGTTAAATACAGAAAATATATGTAAATATTTTGCAGAATAGAGTTAGACCCTCGGATATGTTAAAAAAAAAATGTAGTAGGAAATAAACTGTTATTATTTAGATATATGCTGAAGAAAGTAGATGAAAATGAGATATTACTTTTTACCCGCAGCAAACTTAAAAATATAAGCAACTATTTTAGTAAATAGGGAGAGCCTAATTATCTCATTTACTTCAGGCATATCATGCAAATTCTACCATGTTGTCCTAAATATCTAAATCTAAAATTACAAATTTGAAATAGGAAATAGAAAGTAAAAATGTATAAGAAGAGTTGTATCAGTAAGATGAAAACATTGGCCGGGCGCGGTGGCTCAAGCCTGTAATCCCAGCACTTTGGGAGGCCGAGGCGGGTGGATCACAAGGTCAAGAGATCGAGACCATCCGGGTCAACAAGGTGAAACCCCGTCTCTACTAAAAATACAAAAATTAGCTGGGCGTGGTGGCACATGCCTGTAATCCCAGCTACTCAGGAGGCTGANTGAGCCACCGCGCCCGGCCTGTGTGGGTTTCTATATAGGCAGAAGTACCCTAGACTGTGACTCAGGTAACTGAGACTGAGTCATTGAACCACTACAAAGTCAGAGGGCATCTCAGTACCCTAAGGGCCCAACCAAAGAACATCTTTACCTTCTAAAATCAGTTTATGAAAAATGAAAGAGGTGTTTGCTCCATCAAATTCAGACACCAATACAAAGTATATTGTGCTCATTGTCAATGCTTCTATTCTAATGTAGTACCGGAAGTATGTGGCAGATTAATTAGTCAAAGAAATAATAAGATCTATGGAAATTTAGGAAAAATAAGTAAAAATTTGCTGTTTTTAGATCATACAATTATATATGAAAAAAACATAAACAGTATATTAAAACCTATTTAAAATAATAAATACACTCAGTAAATAGCAATATATAAAATTAACATACAAGTATATGTATGGTTTCATACACTTAAACTATCTGATAAAATAAAGGAAAAAAGAAAAAATAGAAATTGGCCGGGCGCGGTGGCTCAACCCTGTAATCCCAGCACTTTGGGAGGCCGAGGCGGGTGGATCACGAGGTCAAGAGATCTAGACCATCCTGGTCAACATGGTGAAACCCCGTCTCTACTAAAAAATACAAAAAAAATCAGCTGGGCATGGTGGCGCGTGCCTGTAATCCTAGCTACTCAGGAGGCTGAGACAGGAGAACTGCCTGAACCCAGGAGGCAGAGGTTGCAGTGAGCCGAGATCGCGCCATTGCACTCCAGCCTGGGTAACATGAGCGAAACTGTCTCAATTAAAAAAAAAAAGAAAAAAAAGAAAAGAAACACGGCCTCACTCTGTCACCTAAGCTGGAGTGTAGTGGCACAATTTTGACTCCCCCCTAATCTCCCAGTAGCTGGGACCACAGCTGCATAGCACCATGCCTTATTATTATTACATATTTTTATAGAGAGGGGTCTCCATACATTGCCCAGGGTGGTCTTAAACATTTGGGCTCCAGGGATCCTCCTGTCTTGGCCCAAAAAAATCCTGGTATTACAGACAAAAGCCACAATCACACCTCATCCTGAAATGTACACTTCTACAGATTTAAAGTGGTACATTTTATGTTATGTGTATATAAACAATGTTTTTGAAGAAAAACTAAAAAAAAAAATCCAGAATTATACATCTTTTTGAAAATTACCTTCGAATCACAAAAGTGTTTCTCTCACTAAAAAATATATATATATAGGCCGGGCACGGTGGCTCAAGCCTGTAATCCCAGCACT